CAGAAAACTGTTTTATGGGACCTGTGGGTGTGCGGGGCCCCAGAGCCTGCCTGGCTCATCTTTGAGGAACACACAGGAGCTACGTACCAGATAGCTATTTTACCACTCACATCCAGATCTAGGGCAGTGGGTTCCTTCATGGCCTTTTTAGGTCTCAAGCGCCTTGACTCCTCTCCACCACATCACTTAGTCAATTGCACTGCCTTCCCAAACTGTCAAGCTTTCCTGTTCAGTTTGCTTGTTAAGAGACAGGGTCTCACTGTGTTGCCCAGGCTAGCCTGAAGCTTGTGAACCTCGTCTCCATCGCCTAAACGCTGGGGCTACAGTTTGGAGCCAGGACCCTGGGCTTCCTCTTGGGTTTGTTTTCTTACCACACTATTGTTTTGTGTTCTGTGCATGTTCATGAACATACTGCAGTGGGAGTGTGAAGGTCAAGGAACAAGTTGTGGGAGCAGGTTTTCTCCTCCCACCGTGTGGGTCCTGGAGATGAAGGTCAAGTTGTCAGGCTTGGTAGCAGGGGCCTCTACCCACTGAGCCCTCTCCAGACCCTGCTCCTTACTCTTTTATTTACTGTTTGCATGTATGTGTGTGATGTGCATGTCTGTATATATGTGTCCACATGTATGTGTGGGGATATGTTAGGTGTGAGCATGTGTGAAGGCCTGAGGCTGTTCAGTCACTCTCTGCTTTATTGAGGCAGAGTCTCTCCATCAATACAGACTTTTCCAATTCCATCTAGTCTAACTAGCCAGTTTGCCCCCAGGGATTCCCGTCTCTGCCTCCTGAGTGCTGGGATTACATGTGGCCACCACACCAACCCCAGTCTTTGTGTGTGTTCTGAAGGTCCAAGTCCGGTCCTCATATTCCACTGAGCCATCTCCCTACCCTCCTGCTTTGTTTGACAAGGGTCTCAGTGTGTAGGCTAGGCTGCCCTTGAATTCATGGCAATCCTCCTGCCTCAGCCTTCAGTGTTGGGATTATAGGCACTAGCCACTATGCCTGGTTTGCTTTTTCTGAGACAGGGTCTAAAGTAGCCTGACTATGTAGCTCTGACTGGCATGGAACTCTCAGAGATCTTCCTATCTTGAGTGCTGGACTGAAAGGGTGTGTGTGACCCACGCTTCTAGCTTGTTCTTTTCTTGTTCTCAAACTGCATGCCCTCAAACATCCACAAGAAAGAAGAGCAAATGTTTCCACCATAAAGAAATGACAAGGGCTGGGGAGATGGCTCAAGAACACAGGGCAGATGGTTCCCAAGGAGATTATTTGGTGTTGACATCTGGCTTGGCGGGCACACACACGTACCCACACAAGTACATACACTTGGTCTCACACAACAGGTACCTGAACACATGCAGACATAGCACACATACACACAAAAAAGACACGATGGAGGTTTGAGGGATGAAAACAGCTTTACTGTGGTTTAAGATTATACTGCAGGCCGGGCGTTGGTGGTGCACGCCTTTAATCCCAGCACTTGGGAGGCAGAGGCAGGCGGATCTCTGTGAGTTCGAGGCCAGCCTGGTCTACAAGAGCTAGTTCCAGGACAGCCTCCAAAGCCACAGAGAAACCCTGTCTCGAAAAACCAAAAAAAAAAAAAAAAAAAAAAAAAAAAAAGATTATACTGCAAACATGTATGGGACCATCACATGGATCTCTGTTGATATGCACTGACTTTATGTGTGTATCAGTTAAAAGGCAAATATAAATACCTGTTGTGGTATGACATGCCTGTAACCCTAGCACTGGGGAAGTGGAGTGTCTTACTTAGGGTTTCTATTGCTGTGAAGAGACACCATGACCATGGCAACACTTATAAAGGAAAAAATTTAATTAGGGTGGCCACTTATAGTTCAGAGGTTCAGCTTATCATCATGATGAAACATGGTGGCACTGTTTGCCTACACATGGTACTGGAGAAGTAGCTAAGAGTCCTATGTCTTGCAGGTAACAGGAAGAGGTATATAATACTGGGTGGTATCCTGAGTATATACGAGATCTCAAAACCCACCTCCATAGTGACACACTTCCTCCAACAAGACCACACTACACCACAAGGCCCATCTCCTAACAGTGCCACTCCCTTTGGGATTTTGCGGGCCAATTACATTTAAACTACCACATGAAGGGAGGAGGACCAGGAGTTCAAGGTCATTCTTGAACTTAGCAACATAGCCGACTCAAAGCCGTCTCCCTCCCACTGGATGGGTGGGTGCTGTACACAGTTTGCAGGCCCTGGGGAGATGACTCCTGACCTGGCCTCTGTAATCACAAGGAATACACAGCAACAGTGGAAGAAGCCCTCAGCACTTCGACCGCCACAGTGACCGTCATAGTGACCGTCATCTCCTCCTCCTCCTTCACATAGGTTCTTATAAGTCACATTTTCTCCCCCTCCCTCTCTCTCCTCTCCCCCCACTCCTCAGTAAATACAGTCAGTGTGAGTGTGACACATAGGGCATAATGCCAGGCTAAAAGTCCGATACCTCGAAACACTTTGCATCATGTGGAGACACTCAGAGGACGCTAGTGCTGCTGAAGACATATGTGTGATCATAGGAAGGTGAACTTGGAAACTGTAGGAGTCGGTATTCATGGGAAAAAAAGGAAAGGAAGGAATAGAACAGAGGAGAAACTGTAGTTCTTTGGCAGAGCACTTTGCCAGCATGCTGAGATCTGGCTTCTAGCTCCATCCTGCAGTGTCTCATCTCCAAGGAAAGTAGTAGGGATGGTGCTATCCTGCCAAAGGGCTTTATTTAAATCACAATGGATGAGGGGCTTGGTGGTCCACACCTGTCACTTCAGCATCTGGGGGCCCACAGTCATCACTATGGTCACTGGTCTCATGGACTTGGACAGAACATCATGGTAGCAGAGTTATATGAAATTCTACACACATACACAGAGGACAGAGAGAGAGAAAGAGAGAGAGGAGAGAGAGAGAGAGAGAGAGAGAGAGAGAGAGAGAGAGAGAGAGAGAGAGAGAGAGAGAGAGGGAGAGAGGGAGAGAGGGAGAGAGGGAGAGAGAGAGAGAGAGGGAGAGAGGGAGAGAGGGAGAGAGAGAGGGAGAAAGAGAAAGCTAAGAGGGTGGGAATACAGGACCCGGGCATCATGTAGCCAAAAGGATCTACTCCCAGTGAACCACTTCCTCTAACCGAGCTCTTTCTCACACAGTCCCATCAAATCGGGACTCTATTGAGGGTTGAACTGTTCACCATGCTGGGGCCCTCTGGCTCTAAGCTGCCTTGAGAGCACCTTCACACATATTTTTTTGGCTCTCAATGCAGTCAAGAGTTCCAGTCACAATGAACCATCCCAGTTACAGATGAAAACAATTACACACACTTCCACATATCTAGAAAAAAATTATAGCCATGGGGCACACACACAGCTTCACGGTTAAGAGGGTGTATAAGCAGCAGTAGCCTATGGTTGAGCACCTTGTGCCCACATCTTGGTTTCTGAGGGAACTGCCTGGAGATGTGGTAGTTCTTGAACCAGACCAACACAAGATGAGTCTGGAAGAGCTAGAAGGGTCCAAAGGCGGGTTATGACCGCTAAAACCTGAATGTGAAGTGACAGAAGGAACATGTGTGAACAGTTGGTCCCTGGATGACGGCACTATCTTGAGAGGTTATGGAACATTTGGGATATGCACCCTAGTTGGTAGACACAGATCACTAGGTCGACTTTTGGAGGTTATGCCCACCTTCAATTCTGGTCTGAAGGGCTCTGCTTCTTGATCCATGAAGATGTGATAAAGCCACAGGTTTGGTTGTATCAACGCTGTGTCAAAGTATCTTCAGGGAGAGACTGTTTGGTATATAGTGAGGAGGGTGCTGCCCATCATGGTGGGTGAGGCAGCTGATCAGTCCAGGACCCCAGCCCAAGGGAAGGCACTGCCCACACCCAGAATGGGTCTTCCTGAGTCAGTTAACCTAACCTAGCAATGCCCACACAGAGATGCTCACAGTCCTATCTCTTCAGTGATTCTACATCTCATCAAATTCACAGGATCAACAGTCTTACCACTCTCCAAGCTCCCACCACTGCAGACAGAACTGCCTGGCTGCCACGCCTCTCCTCCCATCATGGGTTGAAAACCTGAGACTATGAGTCAAGATATCACCCTTTGGACCTGAAGGTGCTTCTGTTAGGCATTCTGCTACAACAACAAGAAAAGCAACTCATAAAATAACGCAAAGTATGAAGTACTCATGAACCCACTCTGACAAAAACAGATGAGTGGACAGCAGGGCCAGGGTGGGGGAGGGGGATCTCCAGTGTAGAGGGTTTCCATGGCTGGTATCCTGAGGTAGGGAAACACAATATCCACCACCTAAGTGTGGGCCCCTGCACAGAGCCCCAAGCTGATAGAGAAGGAATTATTCAGTGAACACTAATACTAACCTACTCAGTTCTACTCACTGTAGCCCTTAGTAGTCTGAAGTTTGATCTTCAGACACCTCTCTGTGGGTTGCATGTGGGGAGCCTGAACTTCCTAGTTCTCTGGAGTGTACCCTCCACCTCCTTAGAGCCTCATTTTCTCCTACACTTGAAGAGCTCTGAAGCCATGTGGGAGATCATGGGCAGTGGCTAGGAGGTATCTGAGACAGCTCTTTAACCAGACTAACACCTTTATCCCTCCCCTTTTTCCTTTATGTCTGGACAGTGGGTGTGGCTGGCTTCCAGAAGGCTGAGGCTGGCATTCCACCCACCTTTGTTCAAACTTGAAAATTCAAGCTCTGGGCTATAGAACTAGAATAAAGACAGGTCCTGTGTGAGAAACACCAGGTCTGTGGCCTGAATTCCCAAGCAAACCCTGGGCTGGCTTCCACCCTCTTCCCGGTCCCTTGCCTAAAGGCTTTCAATCCACAAACTACACAGCTGTCTTGGGAAGCACTGTTCTTGAATGGCGAGGCAACAATGAGAACAAAAAGAACTTGAAGGCAGAGAGTCCTTGATAAGGAGGGGGGTGCTTTGAGCTTTTCCCATATTGGCCACTAATCCCCATCCCCATCCATCTGCTCACTGCTCCCTTCCAGGACCCTCTGCATCTTTAGACAGACACAAGCAGTTGGCAAGAACATGCCCATCACTCCTCTGCCCACCAGTGTGTTCCCAGAGCCAGGACACTGACGGCCTCTGGCTTCCTAGAGAAAGGCCTACCTCATCCCACGCCACTTTTCCCGTGACCGGATGCCAGGGGCTTGGGGCAGGTTGCATTCCATCTCAGCCAGTCTGGCACTGCTGCCTCCCTCACCGCTGGGCCTCCCTCCCTTCCTCTGCTTCCTGTTCACCTGCCCCAGCTTCCCTCTTGGGCCTTGCCGAAAGCAAGGTGAAATCAACCAACAGGAAGTGAACTTCTCCTGGAAGCAGGGGCCGGCAGCATCACCCACATTCATCTCCTGTCTAGTAATGTCCAAAAGCTGGCCCGCACCCATGTGGCTACCTGATGTCCCTGACAGGGCAGGCCCCAGTGTTCTCCCTGGAGCTCTGAGACCCTCTGCATTCATTTATCAGCATCCTGCTGGGGCTTTCACTGACTTTCCTAAGGTCAAGTTCCCTCAGCAAACATCCTCTGGGCACTCTGCAGATGGGTTTTTTCACAGATCTAATTGTGGATGGCTGTTTCGCCCACCTGCCTGGCCTTGGATTATCTGTCAGAGCCTTGCCTGGAAGCAGGCATGTGGCAGGCTCCCACTAGCACCTAAGCTGAATGACCGAATGCTCAAGAGGGTGCTGTCCTTGTCACTTCTTGACTGTGACACAAGCGACTGTGGATGCCAAAACCCTGCCCACCCCTCTCATGCCCATATTTGGACATGGTACAGATCCTCACTGGCCATGGTCTGTGAGGTCCTGGTCCTCTTTGACTTCACAATCTCCAGGGGCCCCTTGTGTCTATAAGAGGAAGAGGGTGCGGGCTCTCCAGCCACAGCCCGCAAAATTCCACCTGCTCACAGGTTGGCTGGCTCGACCCAGGTGGTGCCCCCTGCTCTGAGCCAGCTCCCGGCCAAGCCAGCACCATGGCCAGATACCGATGCTGCCGCAGCAAAAGCAGGAGCAGATGCCGCCGCCGCAGGCGGCGATGTCGCAGACGGAGGAGGCGATGCTGCCGGAGGAGGAGGCGAAGTAAGCAGGGGGCTGGGCTGGGTCCAGAGGGTCCTGGGGGGAGGGGTCCAGGCATTGGGCACAGCTTGAGACCTCCCTCACCATCTTTCTTGCCTCCCTAGGGTGCTGCCGCCGCCGCCGCACATACACCCTAAGGTGTAAAAGATACTAGATGCACAGACTAGCAAGTCCATCAAAACTCCTGCCTGAGAATTTACCAGACTTCAAGAGCCTCTCACCACATCTTGAAAAATACCACCGTCCGATGAAAAACAGGAGCCTGCTAAGGAACAATGCCACCTGTCAATAAATGTTGAAAACTCATCCCACTCACGTCTCTTTTGGTTCTTGGGTTCAGGGAAGGGTGGGGGAAATGCGGGTAAGGGGACATGAATGACCAAGTGGGAAGGACTTCAATCCTCTCAATCGGCCCCCAGCCACCTCTACAGGTTCCTCAGAAGGGCTTAGGGAAGATGCATCTGAGGGACTCATCATGGCAATGGCAGACATGAGGGCCACCTAACCTGGGAGGTCTTGGGTCCCAGTCACAAAGGCCATCGGAAAGCCAGGCAAGAACTGCCCTCGAGATGGAAGACCACACCAAATGATGCTAGAGTCAGTTGAGCTTCCAAAGTCAGGTTTAACTGGTCAGAAACAAGAAATTCCAGTGGATCTGACAGGCAAGACTTGGCTTCCCTGAAATTCCTGATCCCTTCTCTGGTAAGCCCATGGGGGCCTGAACAGTTCCCCCTCCTGACTCTAGCCCTTTGGGCTGGCTTGTGTGTGTGAATGCAGAGGTCAGATAACCCTGACTGGCATGTGCCCTGAGAACCAAATTTGGCTGATGGCCATGGTAACCTCCTGCAAAGAGGGAAGGACCTCCAGGAGCTGTTAGCTGAATCTGTGGCTCTTACAACAGATCCATGTATGCTTGGTACACTCATTGGTCTTTAGATCAAGACCATGAAGCCATCTTTGTTCATGGTGATAGGTTTGTCATAGGTTTGTCATTGTCCCACCATGATGGGGAAACTTATGTTGGAGATTTAAAGTATAAAACCTGTGAGCTTCATTAATATGCCTGTTTTATTCTTGCTGCTGTTAGGTGTGAAGAGCACAGCTAAGTACACATTAATGTCTTGAGCCCAAGTTATGTACTATGGCTAAATTGAGAGTGACACAGAGAAGTCAAGGGTAGCCTGGGCTATGAGACTCAGTTCTACTGTTTCAGGTCCTCAAGTATCCCACAGGTCCTCAAGTATCCCTGAATGTGGGGGCAGACAGAGACAGGCAGATCGTCTCTGACTGCCTGGTCTACAGAGCAAGTCCCAGGATAGCCAAGGTTACACAGACAAGCAAAAAAGCCCAACCCAAAACCATGAAGGGAAACATGTCCTTTACTCCGTGTTACTCGGCTGCACTCTGGCTCAGCAGTTCCTCAGTGGAAGATACATGAGAATATGCCTGATGCTTGTTTGGTCTGTGTGTCCTTTGTGCACATGGAGAAGGTGAGGACACTCTGCTCCCAACCTGTGAGCCAGTGCTGCAAACCCTGCCTGTGTCGCCCTCACAGAGGGGATTGGGCAGGGTGGGAACAATCAGGGGTGGGCCAACAGGTCACAGTGGGGGTCCCCTTTATATATGACCCCCAGAGAGACCCCCATGCCAGACCATCATCACCACCAAGAGCAGGTGGGGAGGCTTCCGTCCTCCTCCTCATCCCATCCAGGTCAGCTGCAGCCTCAGCAGCCCAGAGCCTCTTGATCTCCTGGCACTATGGTTCGTTACCGAATGAGGAGCCCCAGTGAGCGTCCGCACCAGGGGCCTGGGCAAGAACATGGACGTGAAGAGCAAGGGCAGGGGCAAGGGTTGAGCCCAGAGCGTGTGGAGGACTATGGGAGGACACACAGGGGCCAACACCACCACAGACGTCGCTGCTCGCGTAGGAAGCTGTACCGAATCCACAGGAGGCGCCGGTCATGCAGGAGGCGGAGGAGACACTCCTGCCGTCACAGGAGACGGCATCGCAGAGGTAAGCACCCAAGACCCCCAGACCCCTGGCCACCTGTGTTGCTGTCCCCCCATCTAAACCCTGCTGCCTCCCAGGTAGCCTAGCAAACCAGAACTTTCCTTCCCAAAGGCTGCAGAAGATCACGCAGGAGGAGGAGATGCAGGTGCAGGAGGTGTAGGAGGCACCACCACTAAGCCTCCCCAGGCCGTCCATCCTGTTTGGAGCCAAGGAAATCACCCGCCCAAGGAATAATCACCTGCCCAAGGAACCTCACACGAGGCCACAACACCGTTCCACGATGATGTCCGAGCCCTGAGCTGCCAAGGAGCCACGAGATCTGAGTAATGAGCAAAGCCACCTGCCAAATAAAGCTTGACACAAGACTCACTGGCTGCTGTCTTCTTTTCATGAATGTCATGGACCTGAGGGGAGTAGGGACCATTCCTAGTTATTCTGTCAGGACTTAGGAAGAGCTGGGGCTGGACTGGGCCATCTTCCCATTGCAAACTACGACCTGAGTTCCTGCTGACTTGGAAGGCTTGTCCGACATTTGCCAGAACCCCAGTGGGGTCCATACTCAATGTGTTACCCTAGCTTGAAGGATAACCTTCAGCTCCTGCCACAAGGCAGCTCATAGGGCCATCTGTGTCAGTGGTTCCTGGGAATTTCAGAAGAGCTCCAAGTTCCAGGGTGGGGGAGGGTGGTGCCTTGGAGCCTGTTTATGAGGTCAGTGCCACGCCCACTAGCCTCTCATCCTCTCACTGCCCAAGTTGCCTGCCTCCTAGTCCAGAGAGACAGGAGTGGGTGATGGGTTCCCGCTGTGCCAAGCTCAGCACCGGCCATGGCACGGCCCAGAACACGGGTCATAGCCGTGGCCACGAGTCCTCCATGAAGAAGCTCGTGGCCTGTGTGAGTCAAGACAACTTCTCCCTGTCATCAGAGGGTGAGGAGGAAGAGGAGGATGAGGAGGAAGAGGAAGAGGAAGATGAAGAAGAGGAGGAGGAGGAGCAGATCCCGGTGAAAGGCAAGCTGCTGCTGATGGAGCCCGAGAAGCAGGAGAACACCGAAGACAACGCCGTGGCCCAGCCGAGCCCCGAGCCCAAGCAGACACACTCCTGACCCACCCTGAGGCCTGCCCGGCGATGGTTGCCCATCGCCACTCCAGAAAAGAGGACATTCAGAAAATAAAGAGTCTCCAAGGAACTTTCCTGGTTTCCCTCTTTGCCTTCGTGTGTGTGTGTGTGTGTGTGTGTGTGTGTGTGTGTGTGTGTGTCCATCACCACTCCAGAAAAGAGGACATTCAGAAAATAGTCTCTGAGAAACTTTCCTGGTTTCCCTCTTTGCCTGTGTGTGTGTGTGTGTGTGTGTGTGTGTGTGTGTGTGTGTGTGTGTGTGTGTGCGCGAGCGCGCAGAAGAGCATTCCCGGAGAACAGCCACCAGGGTGGGGATCCATTCTGAAAGGCTGGCTGGTGCAGTGCTGACTTGGAGTCACTGTCAGGGTTAAATCGAGACAGGTTAGAACACATAGATGAAGGGACAATACTCCTGCCTCGTCCTCAGACATATGTCTGACTAGGACACACTTGTCCTGGAGATCCAAAGAGGATATGTCTGCTTCTTAGTGCAATTCTTCTGGCCCCCTCACCCTTGGGAAGTTAGTTCCTGGCCTCCCAGGAGGTTCACTCATTTGCCAAGGCAGCACACCCCTGGGAAGCACAAAGGGAAGGCCCAGGTCCTGGTACCTGCACTAGTCGGGGTCTGCAACCTTCCTGATTCCATCTCCCATTAACTCTTACACAAGAGATCCAGCAGGTGTGACTTGCCCTGTGGAAGAGCCCTGCTTTCCCTTGGCTTTCATTCACTGTGCCACGGAGGTTCCCTTTCAGTCACTGGGAACCTGGGTAGTGGAACCTAGAGGTGGTCCTCAGGAAAGGGTCAAAAAACCATGGTGAGTACACAATGTCTTTGGGGAGTTGGGGGCGAACTTTGAAGGATGAGCAGTAATAAGATGATAGGGCAGAGGCCCCCCAAAAAGTCCTTCAGGTATGGCAAAGTCTCCTCCCCACGCGGTAAAGGGCTGGCTGCTCAACCTCTCAGAGCACAGAGCCTGTTTCAGGTGTGCTGCCCAGAACAGGAGTCTAGATGATAGAACTCTGGATGTAGCTGCCACTAGCCACTGCTCCAGAAATTTTGGACTTATGGCTATTGTGCCTTTAACTTGGGGTCAAACCCTGGCTCTTGTTACAGTTGTAACCTTTGTGAGACACTTGCCAGTCGATGTGAAGGCTTCTATACCCTTTCAAATACCTCTTCCATAAGTAAGGTCACATTGGTAGGCTCCATGCTCTTAGAATGTGGGCACAGATCTGGAGGGAGAGGAAGCTACCATTCAGCCTGCTAATTGGAGTTACTGGGATGCTCCCAAGCAAAGCTGCCTAAAACAAGGATGACTACAGTAGGCAGGGCTCAGTAACCCAGGCAGTTTTCAAAATGGGCCACCTGGCATGTTTATTAAGAAGTCAGATCTGAGCTCTGCACGGTGGTGTATGCCTGCAATCCTCAGCACTCAAAAGGGAGGTGGAGTCACCCTCAGCTGTAGGCCAGCTCACGGAGACTGTCTCATCAACAGAAGGTGAGTCAAAGTGGCTCAGTGGTTAACTTGCCGTCAAGCTAAAGACCTGACTTCAAGAGAGAAACCATTCCCGAGAAACAAAGGCCCGTACCAGTAAATGCTGGCCAGAGGCTGGAGACTGGGCAGAGCACACCAGCTTCAACCTGGCCTTTCTTCCAGGCTAGGGGCCGGAGCAGAGGCTGAACAGAGTCCCACTGGGGGACTGCCAAGACTTGGATGGCATCCCAGGCTCAAAATAACGGAAGGAAGGGCTCATCTCAGGCATTGGGAAACCCCATGGCATACCCACGATCAGACTTCAGTGCAAACTAAGCTTTGAACCTGACCCTCAACCTCTCACCTGGGAAGGCGGCTGGGGAGGTGGGCCCATTCCAACCCCTAGTCACTGTAAGCCTTTGGTCCAAGATGCTATCCAGTCAGGGCACAGTGCCTCACTGCCCACCACTGGCTATCCCTCTAAGGCAGGTCAGGCAGCAGGTGGCCAGGTGGAAAAGAACATTCTGCAGCTGTCAGAAGCCTTGAAGCACTGACTGCAGACTGGTCCTCTCTGACGCTCACGGTGTCAATTGTTAATATTCCCAGTGTCAATGTCACTGTGAGGCGGGTACAAGGATTTATTATCCCCACTCCACAAAGCTGGGGAAACTGGAATATGAAGAAGTGAACACACAGAAGAAACAGGAAGCTACATATCTGAGATGTGGCCTCAACACAGTCTGACCCACAGGTCCTGAAAGCTGCCCCGCCCTGGGGTTTTGCCATACCTGTCACCCTCTGTGGCCTGTGCCATCACAATTGACCCAGCTATATAACTGGGACCTGTGGGGACTTCCCAAAGCTGGGCCTGCTGGAAGAGGAGGAGGAGGAGGAGGTCTCTGCCCCTCCAAGTGTGGCCTCCCATGGACACCAAGATGCAGAGCCCCTCCACCACTCATCCGCACCCACATAGCTCCTCTCGGCCCCAAGGTCACACCTGCAACCAGTGCAACTGCAGCCATCACTGCCCGAGTTGCAGCCTCGCGGGCCACCCAAGCTCCAGTTCCAGCCCCAACCCCAGCCCCAACCCGCCATCGAGGCACCCCAAACAAACCATGCACTCCCGACACTCAACTCCAAGGTCCGGCCACCGTGGCAGCTGCTCCAAGACCAGGAAGACCTTGGAAGGGAAGGTGAACAAGAGAAAGGCGGCAAGGAGGCGGAAGCGGACGCATCGAGCTAAGAGGCGTGGCTCAGGTACCTGCCTAGTGGAGCAATGGGGGACTCTGATGCAGCCTAGGAGCAGGGAAGAGGACACAGCCTGCTCAGGCGGGCAGCTGGCCAGCTGGCCAGCTGAACGACAAGCATTGGCTTCTGGGTGGAGGGAGGAGTGAATGGGAAACTAGCGTAAAGTCCCCTTTCCCATCTCTGTCTTTTAGGGAGAAGACACAAGTGAGACAACACTCCAGGTTGTTCCTGTGTCCATTTGATCCCAAACGGAGATAGCCATGACTAGGGGAATGTTGGGAGGATGCTGATCTTACAGGAACATGTCACTGCAGCAATTTCTATGCAACATGGATTAAAGCTTGTACCCTGGAAGACTATCCTTGAGTCAGCAGTTTTACTTTGTTTTGTGTTTTCATTTTATTTAATAGTGTCCCTATCCAAAACTTCAAGGCAATTGGTTATTGCCTTGGATGCATGCATAGGCACATACCACCCTGTTTAGAGTTTCGGAGTGAGTTCAACCTCCAAGGAACTGATTCCTGAAAGTGGTGCTGACTCCTGTGTTGCAGCTGGCTGCCTACCCCCATTCCATTTCTGGGAGACCCAAGTGTTCTGTGGAATCTGGGTCTGCCCAGGCTCTGTTCTATCCCTGTCGCATGCTGCTATGTTCAGGAGCATGTCGTCCTTTTTGCTCCCTGCTTCATCTTCCCAGTCTCTCCCATCAGCAGCACTCCCATATGGGGGCCGGGCACCCTCCCCCTCCAAGGAGTGTTGGGCAAAGAGCACTTTCAAAATCAACACACATCAGGGGCAGTTCCCAGAATGACATTGTCAAAGCTGGAAAGAGAAACCAAATCCTGTCTCCCTCTCCCAGAAACCAAATCCTCTCTACCCCACCTCCACGGCTTAGAGAAAGGTGTCCTACATGCCAGGCTGTGGCGGACACAGAATTACCACTTGCATCCAGACCCAAACTGCATTCTTATAACCATAGCACCTGTCACATAGCAAGACAGCCCAGCTAGTGGAGAGCATGAAGCCCTGAGTTCGAGTCCCAGCATAGACACCTATTAATCTCAGCAAATATGCAAAATGGGCATTCTTCTCTGGGCCCCCAGGTCAGGAAGCCGTTGCTCAGCACATTTCTTTTTCCCTCTGGCATCTGGATTTGGTTTCATTTTGAACTCACAACTTTCTTCACAACTTTCTAGAAACTGAAACTGAGTTGTTTGCAATGTAGGCTGTGAGGAAAACTGCATCCAAAGGCTCTGCTTGACTCACCCTGGACTTTGCAGCCATGTCAGGGTACAGGGGCTCCCAATGCTTAGGGATCCAGTAAGACAATGAGACACCTCTGAGTGTGGAGACCATCTGGAGTACCGCAGTCTGCCATGCAGTGGGTGGGGCAAAGGCTTTGGGGTCAGAACCCTGGCTGTACAGTGTCCGTGCCATGAAAGTGGTAAAGACCACACCACTGGGCCCAGGAGTGATTTAAGATCAGAAAGTGCATGCAGTCAAGAATCTAAGCCATAGGTCACAGCAAAGGGAGTAAAAGTATGATCCCTAAGGATGGATGGGAGAGGCTAGCCGGGCAGAGGGGAGAGGTAGCTCTCCTGAGCATCTGCTATTTATAGTGGCAGGGAGGCAGGCCTTCAGAAGCCTGCCTTGCCACCTTCTGGCAGGCCCACCCACCTCAGCACCAGCTCTCCTGCTGCCAAGTCCCAAGGGATACTGTACCAAAAAGACTTCCCTCCTCTTCCACTTTGCCTGCTCTATTCTATACTCTCTGGGCTGGGGTGTCTAAAAGGGACACAGTAGGCATGGGATGGAATTCTGTTGGTAGGATTTTGCCTGTGTAAACAACCTCCAGTACTACAAAAAGAATAGTAACTGGGGCAGGGGATGTATGTAGATCAGTTGGTAGAGGACAAGCTTGGCCAGCATGCACAAGGCCCCGGTGTTCAGTTTCCAGCATTGCATAAACCAAGTATGGTGATGCCTGCCTGGAATCCTAGTGACCACTACCAGCCCCGGCCACACAAATTCAAGTTGTGCTTAGGTGAAATGTGGAGCTCTGGGCTCAGCCTGGGAAAACTCAGGGAGACCAGGAGGACCTGGCCGCAGAGCTTCAGACTAGCCGACTGGCAACAATCCGAGAGAAGCCTGTAGAGGGCAGTGTGCGTCACTGCGAGACACCGAAGTTTGCACGCGAACCTCCTCACCCGGCTTCATTCATAAACATTGCCACCAGCCAAGCATCTACTCATGGTCTTCCAGGACAAACTGAATCACGAAACCACACAGTGTCCTAATGATAGGTCTGACCGCCTGGATCCCAAGCCCAAGGTGTACACGGATCACGGGAACCCTTGCGCAGGCAGATGCTGGAGCTTTCAGGGTGTCTGGAAGGTTGAGTCGGGAGGGTGAGAAGGCAGAGTTTTGGGGTTACAGCTGAGAAAGCCTCATTTTTTTTCGTAATGGGTTCGTCTGGAGATGTCCAGCCACAGTGAATCACAGCTCCGCTCCGGGCCTCAGTTTCTCCAATTGCCCACGTAGCAGGAGTGGGAGAGTGAGTCCAGGCCGCTGGGGACCCAGCCCAACCCCACCCGGTTTCCGAGGAACTCGGCCGGGAGCGGGGGCGCCCCTCCCGCACCGCCTTAGGCTTCCTTTGAAGCCTCTGCGGTCAGGCCACCGCTTCCTGGGAAGCCCAAGCCAAGGCCAGGCCGGGTGACCAACGGGAGGGGCCCGCGCGTTGGGCTCCGAGGCTCCGGAGGAGGGCGGCGGCCCCGCCGGGATTCAGGACTGGGTCGCTGGGCTCCAAGATGGACCGAGATTGCCAAGGCCTTCGGGTCCTGGGCGGGAAGAACCCTAGCAGGGAGGAGCTTCTTAAGGGGGCGCAGGCTCCAGGCAAGGCGGAGCCCTGACCAAGAGGACTCAGACACCCGGAGTGTCAGCGCCGCGCGAGCATCCCACCCGGCCGGCTGTCGGGATGTAGGGCGAAGGTGGCCACAGGACAAGCGCGGGCACCAGGTCCTAAGGTGGCCATCCCAGACACGGGCCAGAAGATTCGAGGCAGAGCCAGAACCCCAGGACGCAGAGGTCCCAATCAGGGCAGGCGCGGGGGTAAGACGGAGCGAGACAACCTTCTCTAGGGAAAGCCACAGGAGGCGAAAGAGTAGACCCGAAAGACTCGCCGGAAAGAGAAACCGAAAGCGGCGGTGGGTGGGACCGGTAGGCGGAGCCTCTCTGGCAGGTTTAAGACCCTGATGCAGGGGCAGGCAGCCCCAGAGCGAGCTGCGGCCGTGGCAGCTGCACGGCTCCCGGCCCCGGAGCATGCGCGACAGCCGCCCCGGAGCCCCCAGCAGCGGCGCCCCGCGTCCCGCCGCCAGGTGAGCCGGGACAGCGGCGGCGGAGGAGGAGGTGGGAGGGGTTGGGAGGAAGGGGAGCAGAGCCCCGCAGGACTGGCCTTTCAGACTGCACGGTGGGGTCGTGGATGCCACGCCTCTGGCGCCCGCCCGCCCAAGCGGCCCCCTGCGTGCGTGGGGTGCCGGCAGCGCCTCCTCTTCGGCCCTGAGCCCAGATCGCCCACCAGGGTTCCAGTCCCCGGCATGGCCAGCAGGCGGCAGCCGCTGGGCGGCGAGCCACTAGCGGGGACGGCCCGAAGTCGGGCCCCTCTCCACGCCCCCTTCTCCACGCGCGCGGGGAGGATGGGCTCCACCACCAGCCTGGAAGGGTTCCAGGTACGGGAATGGCCTATTTCGCAGATGAGCCCACGGAGGCTCCGAGGCTCCGGGCGGATTCCGCGTTCAGCCCTCGCTCCTTGGGGTCCGCTGGCCGGACAGCGCCACCCGGTCGCCCGGCTCACTGCCTCTGTCTCCCCTATCAGCGCAGCCCCGGACGCTATGGCCCACCCCTCCGGCTGGCCCCTCGTGTAGGATGGTAGCACGTAACCAGGTGGCAGCCGACAATGCGATCTCCCCAGCAGCAGAGCCCCGACGGCGGCCAGAGCCCTCCTCATCCTCGTCTTCGTCCTCGCCGGCGGCCCCCGCGCGTCCGCGGCCCTGCCCTGCGGTCCCGGCCCCGGCCCCTGGCGACACTCACTTCCGCACGTTCCGCTCCCACTCTGATTACCGACGAATCACGCGGACTAGCGCTCTCTTGGACGCCTGCGGCTTCTACTGGGGACCCCTGAGCGTGCACGGGGCGCACGAGCGGCTGCGTGCTGAGCCCGTGGGCACCTTCCTGGTGCGCGATAGTCGCCAACGGAACTGCTTCTTCGCGCTCAGCGTGAAGATGGCTTCGGGCCCCACGAGCATCCGCGTGCACTTCCAGGCCGGCCGCTTCCACCTGGACGGCAGCCGCGAGACCTTCGACTGCCTCTTCGAGCTGCTGGAGCACTACGTGGCGGCGCCGCGCCGCATGTTGGGGGCCCCGCTACGCCAGCGCCGCGTGCGGCCGCTGCAGGAGCTGTGTCGCCAGCGCATCGTGGCCGCCGTGGGTCGCGAGAACCTGGCGCGCATCCCTGTTAACCCGGTACTCCGCGACTACCTGAGTTCCTTCCCCTTCCAGATCTGACAGGCCGCCGCCGTGCCCGCAGCATTAAGTGGGGGCGCCTTATTATTTCTTATTATTAATTATTATTATTTTCCTGGAACCACGTGGGAGCCTTCCCCGCCTGGGTCGGAGGGAGTGGGTGTGGAGGGCGAGGTGCCTCTGGCTTCTGGCCAGAGACCCCATCCTGCCTCTCGGGGGGGCCTCCCCTCCTGGTGCTCCCTCCGGGTCTCCTGGTTGTAGCAGCTTTTGTCTGGGGCCAGAAAGAACCTGAACTCCACTCCTACCTCTCCATGTTTACATATTCCCAGTATCTTTGCACAAACCAGGGGTGGGGGAGGGTCTCTGGCTTCATTTTTCTGCTATGCAGAATACCCTATTTTATATTTTTACAGCCAGTTTAGGTAATAAACTTTATTATGAAAGTTTTTTTTAAAGAAAAAAAGATTTCTGAAGTGTATACTTTGGCCAATGTCCTGGGTTGAGGACGGGGTGGGGGGCAGGGTATGCAGATTGATTTTCTTGAAGCGGTTGGGGGATGCTGGGGGAGGTTGGGCTTGCATAGCTCCACCCACAGCGCTGGGGACCAAATTGCCGGGCTAGTTTTGGTGTGTGTCTGGAAAGATGGCGGCTCCAATCTGAGCTCTCCTGAGTATCCGTGCCAGGTCTCTGCTACCCACGCTTGAGCACAGTTTCCAGGGACGACCCCTGACACTTAGTACTACTTACTGCCTTGTCCTCAGTGTACAGAGGAGAAAACTGAGGGACAGGTAATTGGTGCCAGGCCACTCCTGATAGAGAGGTGGGCCCCTTTGATTGTCCACCCAGCATCAGTTTGAAATGGATGACAGAGAGGAAACTTCTTTGCTCCTCTGACCACAACTACTTCCAGGAAGAGGGTGGGGCAGAGCGGCCAGGGCTTACCGAGTTTTTGGAAGGAGTGGCAGGTTCTGCAAGCCATCAAGTATTTCAGAGGGGATGATGAGCCATGCTGGCTTGACTGTCGCTTCCCACCCCACTCTGCCTTGTGGTCTGTGGTGGCAGGGGCCCTGGTGCTGCTGGTGGCTGGGGCAATTCCCTTTGCCTCTCTGGGCCTCCGAAGGCCCAACTCTGTGAGGCGCTGGTGGTGGCGGGAGTCCAGGTGGAAGGGCTGTTTCAGGACCCTGGTGGGGACAGGAGAGGACCCAGGACACTGACTCCGAGACAGATGGGCTGGGTAGGAACTGCCGTACTGAGTGGCAGCCACGTTTGGGGCTAAGCGTGCTTCACTGCATATTCAGGAGTTGTCATGGTTCTTTCAGTCTGGGACACGCTTCTAGTGGCTTTCCTAGTGTCCAATGATTGAGTTCAGAGGAGGCAGCTATTCTGGGCATACACCCCCCCCCCTCCCCGGGCCCAGGCTTGCTCTGTGGTTTAGAAGGGCCAGAGTCCTCCAGACCCAGGGCGGCTAGTTCTTCAGGGAGGTGGGGTGGGAGGATGGAGGCCATGTTTGGTTTGCCCTCTATTCCTCCTTTTTTAAGTCCAGACCCTGCTGTATGAATTAATGAGGTCCTACCATTGCAGGGGAGAGACCAGGTGGCAATATTAGTGATACCTTGCACGCCTCCTAGTTAGAGCTGGGGTGGGGCGGTGGCTAGCTGGGAAGACCCTGTTTAAAATACTTGGACCTGCCTGGAAGTCAGGCTCCTATCCCTGGGAAATAGGCTAGAACGCAAAGGGGAGCTCCCACACTGGCACAAGCCAGCTGTCCATCACCTGGGCCTTTTGATTGGTACTGGGGTACTGTTGTCAGCCCCATTTCACGGGCAGGAACCAGGCCCTCCTTCAAGCATAGGTTGAATTTGCAGGTAGTTTTACAGCAAGCCAAGGGGATTTCCTGGTCTGAAAAAAAAAGTTGACAAGTTCTGTGTTCACTACAGAAGTCTATATCACAGACCCATTGCTTTGTAAAAGCCTGAGGCAGAACAGCTAGGAATAAAGGTTCCTGTCCCTCACACTCCCCGGAGCTGCCCCCTTCTTCCCTTTATGAGTCATTTAAAAAAAATCCATCCTGACATACGAAAGGTGACCTAAAAGCCCCTTGGGAGCGGCACTCAGTGTCTGTCTGTCGCCCTGTGGCTTCCCTGGGGTTCAGATTCTCTATTTGGCCCTCAAACCTCAGCCTCATGATTCATCGGTGCTTACGTCGGTGCACACGAATGAAAAGTGAGAGGAAGGACCAAGTAGGGGGCCAGGTGGAGTGTGGGGCTGGCAAACAGGGAAAGGAGACTGGCTGATTGTGGGTGCACGCACGCACACACTAGCGTGTGTGAGACCTGCCTAAAGCCAGCACGGCTAGCAACTGCGGGCCTTGTTTTACTGAGGCAGAAGAGCAGACTCAGGTGCAGGAAACTCCAGAGATGCCACCAGGCCTCGGAGTAGTGGGCTGGCCCTGTTTTCAGCAAGATGAGTTAGTCTCTCTGTCTCTCTGTCTCTGCCTCTGTCCCTCTCCTTTCTCTCTCTCTCTCTCTCTCTCTCTCTCTCTCTCTCTCTCTCTCTCTCTCTCTCTCTCTCTCTCTCTCTCACATATTCTCATATTTTGGAGACAGGGTTTCTCTGTGTAGCCCTAGCTGCCTGGAACTCGCTCGGTAGATGAAGCTGGCATCTAACTCAGAGATCCACCTGCCTCTGCCTCCCCAGTGCTGCCTCTGTACCTCCCAAACGCTCCACCACCAAGCTGAGTTTCTTAGGAGGGAAAGAAGAGGGGGGAAACCTGTGACATGCATTCCTGGGCTCTCCAACCTTAGGAGTTGGTCATGAAATGGACAGGCAAGCCTCTTCTCTGGAGTGACCATCATAAAGCACTTATGACACAACTATGGTATATAGTAGGTACCTAATGTCTGCACAATGAGGTGCTCCATGAAGGATGTATGGAGGTCCAGATAACAAACACTAAGGTGGAGTCTGGGAAGATGGAGAGTTCAAGGCTAGCCTGGCCTATATAAGTGAGAAATAATAAACACTACTCATTTCAGGTGTTCTTCTAAGCCCAAGGATACATAAATGAATGGAAAAGGGGTTCTGGGCTCTGTCATCAGGCAGAGTGCTGGTAAATATAAAGGAATGATATTCCAAAAAGAAGCAGTGCTCAGAGGGAAACTAACGGTGCCTGGTGGTCGCGTGTGGCTCTGGATGATGTTAGGAAGACCATCCGAGAGTCCTTGAAGTAACAGATCTGAACTGACCAAGAAAGATGGAAGGAAGGCATAGTGGAGGGGACAAAGGCCCCACAGCAGAGCCTGGCTCTGCTCACCACATAATTCCCCAGAGGGAAGTCTATTGTGCTGTGCAGGGCCCCATCAGTCTCAGGGGGGGGGGACTTCCGAGGGAACCTGGACACACCCTGTGTTGGGACCAGGTCCTCTGGCCTTTGGGTTAGAGAGGGGCTGAGGTGCCTAGTCCCGACAGCACAGGTTTGGGCTTCTTGCCTGTATAGGGTCACTCCTGGCCGGACCTCTGCTCCAACAGGCTAGCAGCAAGGGGAAGCAGAAGGCCAAGGCCCAACACAGGCCAGTTGTAGAAGGCCTCTCTCAAAATCCCAATGTGAGTCTGTTTGGCACCTGGGTCTGAACAGAACCCTAGGACACAGCAGTATGTGGCTCCTGAAGCCATGCCCACCTGAGCTCACTGGGGACCAGGAAGGAGGTGGGTGAAGCTGATGGGTGGTTGTAATCTGGGCCACTTGCATGGCTGCTCCACACCCCTGGGCAGCAGCTGGTCAGGCTTCCCACAGACTTCACCCTGAAAGTGCCTAGCTAGATTCTGGGGAAGCCTCAAGGTTCTTCAGCGGAGTACTATATTCACCAAAGCAAAATCACACAATAGCAGTGCCCAGTGTGGCACCTTGAACTTGAACCTGGGAACTAAGCCACAACCCTTATGGGAACTACGGGCCCCAGGCCCAAAAGTGACTCCCATGCTGTCCTGCCCTTGCACACAATATGGGTCAGCTCCGTGCCTGCTATGCCAGCCGCCACAGGCTTGAAGACCCGAGGCCTTTGCAGGGGGCCTTGCCTAGCTATGGCTCAGTGCTCAAGAGCTCCTGCTCCCAGGCCATCATGTTTTGTGTGATAATTTGTAAGGTGTGATTGGTAGGTGCTGGCTGTGGTACGTGGCTAAAGCATTGGTCCAGGCACATTCTGTTTTCAGCCAGTGATTCTTGGGCTGCCACGGACTGCACGCTGATGACATCACTGCACGTACTGGGCTGCACTGGGCTATGTTCACCTCTGCTTGGCTTCCTTCACTAGTGGCCCCCTTGTGAAGTGAATGGGGGCCTGTGTATGCAGCCTGCTTGGCTCCTTCCAAGGCCTAGAGCAGGCATGTCTCAAGGTTACACCAGGTCAGAGTGATAGCCATGCCCTGTTCACACCCACTTTTAGAATATTTATTTTTAAGCCAGGCGGTGATGGCACATGGCTTTAATCCCAGCACTCAGGATGCAGAAGTATGTGGATCTCTGTGAGTTCAAGGCCATCCTGGTCTACAAAGTGAGTTCCAGGACAGCCAAGGCTATACAGAGAAACTGTCTTGAAAAAACAAATAATATTTATTTTTTATTTTTAATTATGTGTATGTGCATATAATATTTCTACAGAAGTGTATTGTGTATGAGTAACAGCATCCTGGAGATCAAAAGATGGTATCAGATTCCCTGGAGTTAGATTACAGATGGCTGTGAGCCCACTTGATGTGGGTACTGGGAATTGAACTCTGGTTGTCCTAGGTCTTTTTCTGTTGCTGTAATAAAACCTTGACCAAAAGCAACTTGGAGGAGGAAAGTGTTTATTTAAACTCTCGGGTCACAATGTATCACTGAGTGAAGTCAGGGCAAGAACTCAATCAAGAACTTGAGGGGAGAAAATGAAGCAGAAGCCATGGAAGGGTACTGCTTACTATCTTACTCAGTTTGCCCGTGTGTGTGTGTGTGTGTGTGTGTGTGTGTGTGTGTGTGTGTGTGTGTGTGTGTGTGAACTGAACTACCTGCCCAGGAGTTGGTATAGCCCACAGTGGGTGTGGACCCTTCTACATCAATTGTTAGTTAAGAAAATGCCCCCAAAGATACACACACACAGACTAATCTGGAGGCCATTCTTCAAGTAAGAGTCCCTCTTCTCAAGTGACTCTAATTTGTGTCAAGCACGGAGACTTATTATCAATTCTTATGTTCATCCCACTAGCTCTATTAACTTTTCATTCTGTATGTCATCTTTTCCTGTTTCCTCTGTGTCTGTCTGGTTCACCCTGGGCATCACCCTCCTTCTCTCTTGTTCTCTCTAGAGTCTTCCTCCTTCTTATTCTCTCTGCCTGCCAGCCCCTGCCTAGCTATTGGCCGTTCAGCTTTTTACTAGACCAATCAGGTGCCTTTGGCAGGCAAGGTAAAACAGCTAGCTACACATCTTTACATAATTAAACAAATGCA